TTTATTCTTCGTAGTTTTATTTTTTTTAAAAAGTACTTTAAACTGTATAAATAATGTAAAATTAAATTGATTTAAACGCCAATCATACGAAGGTCTTCCTATGTGGCGCCACCGGTGTCCCATCTCCGCTTGTACTTTGATCCAGGGGCCATAAACTATATTAAATTGATTTAAACGCCAATCATACGAAAGTCTTCCTATGGGGCGCCACCGGTGTCCCATCTCCGCTTGTACTTTTATCCAGGGGCCATAAACTGTATAAATAATGTAAAATTAAATTGATTTAAACGCAAATCATACGAAAGTTTTCCTATGGGGCGCCACCGGTGTCTCATCTCCGCTTGTACTTTTATCCAGGGGCCATAAAAAACGCTGTGGCGTAGATCATGGGCGCAGCAACGGTACTTTTTTTTTAGAATAGTGATTGTAATCCAATAATATATACTAAGGCTGCGCCTATTATCTACGTCACAATGCCCCCTGGATGATTCTACGTGTTAAGTTGATTTTTCGTTTAACGTTACGTTATTTCCTTCTCATCTCCTGAGCTCACCTCAAATTAAGCAAATAGAAGTAACAAATTGATTATAAATTATCAGGATTTTGCGTCTTACATTCGGGATTTTACGATACACTATGTATAGTACATGATTATTTTTTATATTTATTTAATTTCTTCCCTCCTCCTGTATAAATACGAAAAAAATTATCTTAAACGAAGTTTCAACTTAAATGCCTTAATAAGAAATGCATGGAAAACATAAAGTGCACATTCTTTCTTATATGCTCATTAGGGATGGTCACTACGCAAGCTGCGCCGAATTTTTGAGAAATGAGTGGTGTAATTTTTATAATCAACTTGCATAATTGCTGGCTTGAATGTCAATGTAATATATATCCTTGTAGTTAGCAAAATCTTATGTTTTAGATAAGATAATAAACCAGCAAATATAATTGCGAAATATAAGTGAGTTTGTATTGTGTGTAGCTTGCACAGTAGATTCGATCTATCCATTTCCTAGTGCTCATAAAAAGAAATGATTATTTTTTCCTTTCATCCAAGACATTCATTGATTATTTAAATTCATTTGTTTGTCAATAACTAATAGCATGCCAAAAAACGCATAAAAAATTTTTATGAATTGTAATTTAGAATGGTGCAAATGGAAATTACGTTTTGTTAAATTGTTGCCATAATATATCTAATATATTTATTATATTTAATATATCAAAACATAAGTAGATTTTATGATAAAAGTAATAACATCAAAAACGCAAAATACTACTAAATAGATTTAAAAAGACATTTAAAAAAAAAAAAAAAAGAGGAAAAAATAGAAGAAAAAAAAAGAAAAAAGAAGACAAATATTGATAACTAAGGAATTGGAGTTAGGAATGACGCAGCGCAAGCTGCCATACACGTTTCTTGTGCAACATTGCATAGAAGTGCTGCTGCTGGAGCACCGAGTCCACCTGTTGCAGTTCCTTCACAAGCGTATAAAAAGTATTAATTCGTATTGTTATATTAAAATGAAAATTCTATTGCTAAAAAAATAGCTTACCTGCTACTAATCCTGCAGCGGCATAGCATGAGACCTAGCCGGCATTACATGCTGACTGACATAAAATGAATGTTATAGGACCTGCTTCAGTTGTAGTCAATAGTAATAAACTCAAGAGAATGGCGAAGAATAATTGTTTGGTCATTTCGTGCATTATAAAGATTGTTATATTATAAAGATTGTTGATTTTTTTTTTTGTTTTAAGGTGAGGCCTTACTCATATCTTTATTAGTAAAAATTTTTTTAATAGTAACAGTGTAGATTACTACAATGCAGTCACCGAGGCTTCCACTTGTAGTCAGAGCGAATCATTAAA